TCTGGAAGGGTCTAACAATGTGAAACCCACAAACGCCGGGTCTTTAGGTAACCTTTCATGTAAAATTGGACCTATTATTTGTAACCTTTCATGTAAAATTGGACTTATTATTTGTGAATAAACTATTTCTCAAAGAAAGATCTTCTTGCATCAGGAAAATGTATAGGCATTTTGCATTATAATTTGCCTTGTCAATCTTCGCGATTTTATGTGATTGATTGATTGTTTAACATCCCGTTTTCGAGAATTTTTCACTCATATAGAGACGTCACATTATACCAATGAAGGGCTTCAAATTTAGACCTTTACTCTGCATTCAGGTCCATTGAGCAGTGAGGATTCTTTATCGTTTCAACGCCTACCGTGACACGGGGCCTCGGTTTTTAAGGTCTTATCCGAAGGACACACAACTTTCACTTCAAAGTTCCGGGCGCTTGACGAAGAAACAGTTCCTACCTATTTTTTATCGACCGAGGTCGGTAGCGGCTGTGATTCCAACACACGATTTTCTGACCACGGAGCGAGCGCTCTACCTACTGAGCTACCATGACGACTAATCTTTATTATGAATTTACTGTCTATCAGAACATGTGTGCTTAATGGACATAAAAGCCATTGTGACGTGGAAAGTTAAATAACGCAAAAATATAACAAACGGAAAATGAAATTAATTTTAAGCGTTCTGTCAACCGCAAGCGTTTTAACGACATGGACGGAGCTATAGTCAATAAAATCCTTTTCTCGTGGTATATGATTTATTTACATATTTAATACATTGCATATGCAATAAGCTTTCGGTGCTAATACAAATCCGGCAGTAGTGATACATACATGCATCTATGTTAAGGCTGTTCGAAGGCTTAATATGCATTAAAATATACATTTTGTTTTGAGCTAGATTTTAATTTCAATTTATAATCTATGTATGAATTTTCAGTCAACTTGTGATGAGAGTGTAATCAGGTAATATAATAATGCATTTTTGTGATGTCATATTACTTTGTTGATCAGGTGACGTACACTTATAAATTCTTAAATGTTTCACAAAAATCGCATCGGCACAAATGTAAAACAACATTATTGAGAAAAATTTGTCACATAAGTCAATTCATCGTTATTATTGGTACATATAAAGTGCTGGGGGCAAGTCTGAATTTTACTTTTTGAGAAAATATTCTACGAGAAATTGAACTTACCCACATACAAGATGGCATTTTCCACTCTTTATTACAATTTATACAAAATAGGATAAATTACAAACAATCCCCCAGCATTATTCATTTAGAGGACATACTTTTCTCCTAGATTCACACAGAATTTCTTCAATTTATACTTAATAATCACTTGTGCCAGTCAAATGTATACACGATTTGTTAATTTTAACTCTGTCCACGGACGTGCAAGGAGGAGCATTTCACAGTCAATTTTTGTTATTGTTTGAATATATGTATATTGGACAAGTTAAAGGCATAACGATATTAAATTGCAAATGTTCAACATCACACTTAAGCTTAAAGAACAATACAGACACTTGAATCAAACAACAACGCTAAAAAATCTTTACATGTCATGTGAAAGGAATGTAAAAGTTATGACACTTTCCCCGTCATGTCAGCTCAAGTATGCGGTGACTTGACGTCATATGCTATTAGGGCGTCATATCTAGGTAGTTCAGAGAAGTTACTTCAGTTGGAACAGTTTGATATCTTACGGACAGTCTTATCCTAGCCGCGCATATTTTACTTCCTTACGGATCAGTCCTTGAAAAGAGTACTTGCGAAAAAAAAAATTCGTTCATCCTCCCTGTAAAATTGTTATATCATTTTAAATTACTGTTATTTGATATCATACGATAATCAGCGATTATATATATATATATATATATATATATATATATATATATATATATATATATATATATATATATATATATATATATATATATATATATTTTTTTTTTTTTTTTTTTTTTTTTTTTTTCAGAAGTCCAGCTGTATGCTAAATAAGAAAACTCTTAAACCAAAATCAAGAGATTCTTAGGATTTAGATAAGGAGGAACAAAGATATTGCTTAAAATCGAGACGAATTTATTTTTTGCCTTTTCTTGGTTAACTTCCCTTAGAAGGGGGCTTGGCCCTTCAATTTAACAATTCAGAATCCTCTTTACTCAGGGATGCTTTACACCAACTTTGGTTAAAATTGACCCAGTGGTTCTTGAGAAGAAGTTGAAAATGTGAAAGTTTTCAGACGGACGGACAACTAGACAGACAGACAGACGGACGATGAACAACAGGTGATCAGAAAAGCACACTTGAGCTTTCAGCTGATGTGCTCTAAGAAAAATACAAACAAATGTTGAAGTATTGTAATCAACCTTTAATCACGATCCTTAACATGTACACACAAATTTTAAACGTGTAACATACAAAGAGTACATGTACAACACAAAGGTTGCCCGCGTGGTGCTGTGGTTAGAGCTTTCGCTCTAGAGTCGCAGAGTATGGAGATGATCCTTACGTCGCGGGTTCGAATCCCACTCTGGGACGTAGAGACCGATCTTTCGGATGAGACCGTATAAACCGAGATCCCGTGTCGCAGTAGGTGCTGGCACGAAAAAGATCCCTCACTGCTCAATGGCCCTGAGTGCCGAGCATAGGTCAAATTTGCAGCTCTCCACCGGCAAGTGGTGGCGTCTCCATTTGAGTGGAAAATTCTCGAGAGCAGCGTTAAACAATAAACAAATAAACAAAACATGTACACACAAATATTAAATGTGTAACATAAAAATGTACATGTACCACACAATATTAAATATGTGTAACATACACAATGTACATGTATGCAGAAAAATGAAACATACACATTTATTTCATCCATATTAAATCACAGAAAATGAACAGTTTAAATCATTTTGGAGAAGGGAAAAAGTAATAAAACATACAAAAATAAGCACTTGTAGAGGGGACCATCTAAAATGGCACATTTATAATTGAAAAAATGATGTCATATAACCCTGAATTAAAAAAAAGAAATAGCAAAATATCAGTTGAGAGAGAGAGAGAGAGAGAGAAAGGTTAACAAGATAGCCATTATGGATATAATGATGCACAAAACTGGCAGAAATGACTAGCATTCCTAAAATAGATACGTAGTTTTACAATTTCACACAGACATACTTATTAGTAATCTTAGTACATCATAATTCATGCAAACAAACTTCTCTTCAACATCTATTCCTTATTTCATGGCATTCATGCATTGAAAAAAAAATCATTTTTATTTGATCAGATTCTTTCCGCATTTCCATTGTGTTGATTGTATTTCCAGCACAAGATATAGCTAACTTGCTCTTTGAAAGTACATGTGTTGTTCACAATTATCAGTTTTTATTATTTATTATTCATTTTTTGCTCATCGTCATTATAAATACATGGACTGCTAGAATCAGTAAAAGATACTAATATTGCTAGAGGCATTTTACTATGAAGAAAAATCCCAAAATGTCTTAAATAATAGGTTTTATAAAAAATGCAAGAACTTTTCAATTTGAGTGAATACTTGATCGCTTCGTGTTATTCAAAGTATTTCTTGTGTACAATTTCAAGTCGTATTAATGAATGAAACTTAATTACACTAGATCCAAAACAATTGCAGAAAAAATAGGATCGTTAGCTCCTGACTACCAAAGGTAAAATTACTCGGTAAATTGTTTCATGATTATGTAACCTGCAAGAATATGTTATACGACGTTTATGTTATTTGTAAAGCTCGCTTCAAAGAGATTTTGCTAAACCTCAACATTGATGAAAACCATTCTTAAACAAACACTTCTCTAAAGCCTTATTTAGAGCAACCTAAATGATGCAAGAGAAATGTCCCTGAAGAAAGAAGAATCCTATGACGATGTGGTAAAATAAAATTGAAGTTGAAATCAACATTTTGTTTTCTGCCATAAACTCTCAGGCATGTAACTATACATACATGAGATAATGCCAATTCATTACACAACCCAAGATCAGAATTAATCATCGTTGATGAGAAATCGTTGCTAAAAATAGACATATATAAATCTACTTGTTCAGACAAAGTTTTGTCAAAAATGCTTCAGGTGACAACAAAACAGTTGTCTCAAGCTTTGACTCTTATTTCCAAGTCCTCATTTTAACAAGGTAAATACTCAACTGATTAGAAGAAAGCAACATTAAAGTACTATTGAAGAATGCAGACCGAAGAACAACAGTAAATTATCAATCACTGATGCAGCAAGGATTAAAGATTTAAGTTGAAATTACCATCTTTAAAATTGGTAATTCCAACTCTAATCTTGGCTTTTCTATCTTGTACAGCTTTATGCGTTATATTCAGAAACTTTGTAGCTGGACTCGTGTTGCTGTTTTATACATGTAATTACAATGAAAATAAACGATTTAATTATAAAATTATGATGAATGAATGCATTATTTCATTGTGTTTCCAAATTTTCACATACAGAATTGATACATTTAGTTCAGCTGTATTTATAGCAGGTAACATAGTGTTGATTCATCCCATATATATATTAAGGTAGTCCGTTCCTCAGGTTCCGAAAATCGGCTTTTTAGTAATTGAAAATTCTCACAAAAATGTCTTGGATGTCACAGAATAACGTGTATTTACCTATGGTATTTCTTCAAAGTTCATCACTAAAGTTAATCATATTATATTATATAGGGAAAATTATCAGATCTCAAATATATTTTCAGTAAATACGAATAAAAGCACCAGCTATGGATTTTCTACTTAAAAAACTGATCAACAAATATATTTTTGGATTCAAAATTAGAATTATAAAAATTTCAATTATCTTGTGGACCATGGCCTATGCCTTTACCTTGCCCCTTTCTATTCAACTCAATTCTTTTTTCTCCGGATCATATCTCATCTCTTAAAATATGTAACTTAGAGCACACTGAACTGTCCATTTTAGCTGATTTGGTGTAATTAATGTCTATGAAATCTTATATATCTCATATAATTTTGTCGCAGTGACATGTATAAATATAACTGATATACTAGAATACAGAAGAAAATTATACTAATGGCGGATTTTTTAAACTCTTGTTTGTCTAGCGAGGAGCATTTTCCATGGGTCGCTCTCGTATGTCTTTTTTATTATCACTGAATGACACACAAACGGCTTCTATTTCTTTTCTCAGAGGGAGGCACAACTCTTTGTAAGTCTGAAAACAACTCATTTGTGGCAGATAAGTTTGTAACGTCATTCTTTCCTGCTCTGTAAGATCTTGGACTTTGAACAACTTCCTCCAGTTGCCCTGTGTCCTCAGGATCTGGGGTTCTACTTCTTCGTGGACATTGCTATGAAATACCATGTGTGATAATTCAATAGTACTCAGAATACTTTTACAGATTATACTATTTTCTCAGGCGTTAACGAAATTTAAAACGAATTACTGCATAGTTTTAATTTTTAGAATTGATAATTATGTCTATTTCAGGGAAAAAGACAAACAATATCATACATGTATGTATGTTTATAACTCACCACGGTTTCTAAATAAACATGCTTTTGTCCAAAAAGAACAGCTCCTTTAACTGCAGCCAAGCCTGCTTCGGGAGGGATCAAAATAGTTTTGGAGGGAAAAGATTCCTTGATGATATTCTGTAGAATCGGTGATTGCGCAAACTCTCCAATAAGAATTAGATAATCTACATCTGGATACTTTGTAAGTAATTCCTTCTCCATATATTCAACAATGTGCTTCCCAGCGTCAGAAAACAGGCTTTGGAAGACATCAGGTGAAATTTTACATTTGTCTAATTTAAATTCAATGTTGTTTTCTAGAATTGTCTTTCGAACAGCTTTTTCAATGCTTTTCCCGGTCTTTTTTCGAAATTTTTCCATCAGAAAAGCTGGCATTTTCATTGTCACTCTTTGGGTATCGGATGGAGTGCTGTTGATTTTCTTCTTTAGCTCCTGAATGATATCATAGTACTCCATCGGATATTTTTGCAGAAAATAATTCAAAAATGACTCACTGACTATTAAAGCGAACAGTTCTTCAAAGTCTTTTTGCACTTGACAAGTTGCCCAAATCTCTGCGTTATCTCTGTAAATTATATTGATACTCTCCTCGCTTGGGCACTTTAAAACCGAAATGTTTGTATTGTCATCTAAAAGAAAGAATGATTGTTATGAAGCAAAACTTTATTCACTCTGACCTTTTTTACAGAGATGTAAAAGAAAACGGTTACAGACCATGTGACAGCAATGCTTCTTTTAGTTGTAAAATGATCTATAAGCAACATGCATTCTAGGCCAAAAAGATTTTTTTAAATTAAAAAATGTATGATTATTTTTATTTGTTAATAGTTCACTGTATGAATAAATTGAATCATATGCTCTTGTATATCTAAATGGCGAAAAGAACTCAAGGCCTCGGATTCTTTGCAGTATACACATATCTATTTCGATTTTGATGTATGGATTTATAAATCAATGTATGTAGTACAGATATATTCAAATATTAATTCTGCAGAAAAATCAATTATAAGTCCTTCAACATCAATCAAATATTAATTTTTCCAAAAACGTCCAAATATGTTTATGACATGAATTTGAAATTCCATGCCGGAATTTATTTATTTTAAAAATTCGTGAACTAACCTTACATGCTAACATACTAACCTTCACACTCTACAAACACGTATGCTTTGTCTTGGTTTGCTGTTGGTCTTGGGAGTCCTGTAAGTACTGGGTTTTGTATGCAGAAGTAGAGTGCGGCCGCAGCCTCCTCAACAATAGTAATTTTATCAGAGGGAAAGCCTGCCTGAAATATATGATATAACAAATGATGTGTGCTGGAACCACTAAACAGTTATCATTACTCACACACACACACACACACACACACACACACACACACACACACACACACAGAGTTATAAATAAAAATGCTCTATTTAGTAAACTTATTACGTGTTCTGCAGCTTCCAGCATAAACCCTCTTGAATCGTTACATGAACAAGTTGGCACCGTTAAAACATACTTTGTAGAAACGTCTATGGAGTGTTTTCCTGCCATCACTTTCACGTGACCATCCATGTATGATAAAACTGCTGACATAACATCAATTGACTTCATCTCTTTTTCGTTTACTGCCTTTAAGTTTTTGGGAACCTGAAAATGGATGTTTTCGATAACCTATTACAACCCTATAAGATATATTATTCTCTCCGAAAGTAATCACTGTACCAGAACTGTAAGTTTAACTATACTCATCACCACAGAACTTGATTATTTCTTTAAATAAGGAAAACACCTCGGAACATTGAATATATACTGACCTCGTCGTTAACACAGAAGAGATCCCAAACAAAGTCTCGAAAAAGCAAGTACTTGTTTTTATCGCCTTGTTGCAGATTCTGATATTCAGCATCAAATCCGTAAGACTGGAATACACCGTTTTCCGTAAAAAGAGCTACTGTAGGTGTGATCAGCGACATTGAACTAGTAGCGTGTTTCTGGAACGGGACAGTGAACAATTTGGGGTCTTCAGTTCGGCCATCATTGATCATGTAGGCGTTTGTGCTGTAGTTTGTTCCAAATTTAATGGCAATGATAATTTCTATCTCAGACATGATTAATTGTTGTATGATTAAAAACCAACGGGTTATTTAGTTGGTTTTCAAGCATTCAGTTTCATTTTCCATTTTTGGTGTAGCAAACTTCCTAAATTTTGGTACCTGTATGTTGCACATCTAAAACAGAAAATTATGGTATTTGCATAAGAAATCATGAATAAGTCACTCAGCATAGACTGCTTTATCATTTGAATGATCCTTTTGTTCTGGTACACACACATGTTGTTGTGCAGATATGTACGCTTTCGTTTCTGTTTTGTGGTTTTAAAATATATATATATATATATATATATATAAACAATGTCTGGAATTTAAGGAAAAAGAAACTGCAAACAATGTATAGATCTATGAATTGGTTGCTGTAAATATTAACGTCTTTAAATATTTTATTTTGTACTACTATTGTACCTTGATTTTCTGATATTACTGTTATTTTCATATATATATACTTGTATATATATAAAATCGATCATTTTATTTGCTCCTTAGCTTTTGCATGTACATTTGTATTGAAACATTGCACAGAAACATGACTAATAGTAGCAATCATTTTTATTTCATAAAAAATGATTACGATAAATCACATTGAGACAATATCAAATAGAACTTTCGTTACCTGTCAAAAGATCATAATGTTTATCACATGATCCAGGCCACAAAATGATAGGAAGTCATTAAATGTCTTTTTAGCATTTAAAAGTCTTGTACATTAATAGTTTAAAAGTATTGATTTAACCTCGTTGCACTCCGGTGAGTAGTCAAACAAGTTTAAACATACACAGTTTTACTTTCGATTTACATATATATTTGTGTACTTCTTTTTGGTTTACTTTTTACCACACTGGTTTACTATTCACCACAGGTAAATATAACATATACTATATCTAAAACATAATTTGATAACCTTATTTAGACTTTATTTTTTCGCAGGTTAAATCGTCCTGCAGGCCGGGTGTCAGATATGCTATTTCATATCCATAATATTATGTTTATACTGTATCCGTCCACTGAAATTAAACTCTGTTGATCAATAAAAATATTTCTGACAAATTCTACAAGAGTAATTTATATTTTACATTTGAACAATTGATGATATAAGATTTATTTACCTGAGTTTATGTGTCGTCGCTAAGACGGCCTACATAATGTTATGTAAACAACCCTTCACGTACAGCAGACGACAGATCTTACCTATGCTTGATATTTAAAACTTCAAAACATAAACGAAATAAAATTTTTAAACAGTTTATGAACCATCCTAAATGGTGCCTTTATTTTCTAACCCCCCCCCCCCCCTAACTTTCACCCATACCAGATTTTTTATTTGATTTCCCGATATTATACAGGTGAATACACACGCTATATTTTCCTTGATGTGATATTGCTAGGGAAAAAGGTGAAGATAAAAAACAGTGATCGATTTCAACAAATCTAAAAACAATACTAAGATGAGAACAGGGCATAAAACACGGACTTCCGGAAATTCCAGAGGTGTGATCTGGCCCCAGGATCATGAAACAAATTTTCAATCACTGGAAAATGTTTATTTATTATTGAATTAATCTCTAAATTTGCAGGTAACCAGACTTTTGTAAAGCAATATTGAAAAATATTTTGTTATGCTTGACTTTTACAAAAACTAAATAGAACATAAAGATTTAGACTTAAGCTTAAGGGCCGGTATATACGATAAGGCTTGCCTTATAAGTCATGGAACTTAAGTTCTTGTCTTACTGTGTGTACACCCTTAATACACGGTTTTTCGAGCCTTACAAATCTGACTTACAAATAGAACACTGCTCTATTTCTAAATACAAGACTTAGCTGAAATTTTCTTCTCAACCAATGAAAATCATTCGCCCAAATGTCATTCTATTTTTATCAAACCATACACGTGGATATATTTTCGAATAAGCTAAATATCAACAAATGCTTCTGTTCAACCTCTTCCTCTTTTTTTAAGAAGTGTGAATGTACTTGTTGGTATAATTATTACAAAGCCTAGTAATCTATTCTTCTATTTTAATGACCGAATGCACTATTTATGGCTGAAAACACGTGGAATTTATGGAAATGCTGTATAAAATCCCGTAAGTCTTGCCTTAACGTATGGACACGAGAGCCGTACATCCTGCAAAACGTAAGGTTTTAGGCTTATAAAGCAAGCCTTACCGTGTGTACCGGCCCTAAGATATGTCATGATCCCGGGGCTAGGTGCCTATAGGAGGAGTAAGCATCCCCTGTCGACGGTCACATCCGCCGTGAGCTCTTTGTATTGAATAGGTAGACGGAACATTCCGTTGTCAAATTAAGTATAAAACAAAGGCCTAACAATTGGTGTGAAACATGTCAGCTAAATTACGACCCAATGATAGGTTATACATGTGTATGTGCTTACAAGGTCATTATATCGACCATAGACTTTACGAATTGCTGATTTTAAACGAGGTTGTTTAAATCTCTATAACGTCAACTTATCTGTCAGTGGCCTGCTTCGGTATAAAAATTTATAAAAATTTGTCGCAGAAACGGAAATTTTATTTCATGTGCCTGTTTATTTCAATTTCAGTACAGCTTTGCTTTCCAAATTAAACAAAGATTTACTTTGACAGCATATCAACACATATTTCTTCAATCAATAATAATGAAAAAGAGAAATGAAATAGATTTATGTTTCAGAATTCAGCAAGCATATTAGGATGTCAAATGGCATAGTTATTGCCATTCGTGTTGGCACGAATTTTACTAATTGTGCATTGGAAGAAAATTCGATTGAGGGCCACGTTTGGAGGGGTGAACCATTGGACAAGTCTGATTTGGCTGACAATACAGAGATCGTAACTGAGGAGACACCAAGCATTGTTGTATTAAGTTCTGAAAAGTTTGACCATTATTTTGGATATGAGGCACTTAAACGGATCGAAAAGCAAAAGAAAGGGGATTTGATTTTCCCAGAGTTTGTAAAAAATCTCTTCTGCAGTGGTTACAAGGTAAGACATTAAATGGGTATGAGAATTATATTATATCCTCTTTAGTGTAATTCAAGAGATGGGTATTTTAAAACTACGCTTTGGCAGAATTTAATTTACATATTTCAATGAAGAGCAAGAAGGTTCTTAGAATACATGTATTTCTACTGATAGGTTGGACTTTAAAGTGTTGATCACAAACAAGAAGGTGGTATAAGCTTAATCCTTTGATTGTAGGAAACAATGAAACTCGATGAAATTTACCCAACTGTCTCCCTGTTAATGCTTGTTCTGGTGTGACGTAAATCTACGTCACCGTTTGGCGTTCGATGTAACTTAAATAAAAAGTATTTACCTACAGAAAATTCAATCAATTGAAAGATTTGTAATATCTTTTTAAAAAGGTTCCAGAATTACTTAGGGCTGAGAATGGTGTCCCTTTGTCTTCAGCTGACGTTATGGAGAAAGTTATATCATATTTGTTCGAACAGATACAGTCGAATGTTGAAGGGTCGACGTGCAGGCAGTTTGTCTTCACAGTACCAACAATGGCAACGGATGATGCTTTCCTGTTTTTGAAACATTCCATTGTTAATGTAATTTTCATTTATTTGGTGTATAATGATTGTTGATGTATAATGATTATAAATGATTTTATTCACCATAGGTATTAATAGTAGAAAATGATATGATTTTCATCTCCATAAATATAATAAAATATAATCAGAATATTAAATGAAATAGTATTTAGAATAATTCCGTGTTTTAATATGAAATAAGATATTTAATCTTATTTGAAGGCAGGTTTATCAGAGGACCAAGTGTTGATCATCCCTGAGGCTGTGTCTATCTTGCAATACTGCAAACTACATCACAATACATACAAATCTGTATCCGGCAAAGATGTAGAGGCTTTCTCTCCAGGCAAGCGAAGTGTCGTGCTAGAATGTGAAGGTAAAAGTTTGATGTACCCTATCAAAAAGAGTAAACAATAGTTTAATTTAGGATAGTAAAAACTTGGATACGTTGATTTACTAAAAATCTTTGAAATACTATGTGGAATAATATGGAACTTTGCTTCATTATGTAGTAAAATCTTCGATACTCTTATTTATTTTGTCCAATACCAGGGGAACTTCATTTTTCACGAATAAAAACAATAAACTACAAATGTATTTCTGTTTCTCATAATTGTAAACTACTGTTCAATATAGTAAACTTTAGTTACAATTGTGTCAAAATACACAATTTACCCTTACTTTAGCAAATACTTTCAAATTGACTTACTACTGTAAAAACTTTGAAGTAGTAAAAACTTTGATACTTTGATTTTCCATAGTAAATAGATCTTTGATTTACTACAGTGGATTATTTGGTTTACTACCGTGGAAGCTTTGAAACTTTGATTAATTAAAAACTTCGATACTTTGATTTACCACATTAAATACTGTGAAACTTTCATTTACCATGGTAAAAACTTATTTAAAAAAAAGTATCAAAATTTATAAATTATTAAAAGTTAAATGCTTTCACTAAGGAATTTCGAAAAGATTAATGAATAAAACATTTTTTCTGTGTTTCTGTAAGATTTCTTAAACGTTGTGAAGTGATGTGCGACATAGATATAATCTTTAACGTCAGAGTATCCTAAGTTATTCTGTCCTGACTTTCTCTGCATTTAAATCCCCTGGAAACCAACATTACTACATAGAGATGATAGGAGGTCTAAATCATCAAATAAATGCTATTAATGCGTAAATTTTGACATTTCAAACAAATATAAAAAGTCAAGGTAACTTCTACACCCACCCACCCCCACCCCAATTTTCACAATTTTTTATTCAGTTTTTAGCTCATCTGAGCTGAAAGCTCAAGTGAGCTTTTCTGATCACATTTTGTCCGGCGTCCGTCTGTCTGTCCGTCTGTCTGTCTGTCCGTCTGTCTGTCTGTCTGTAAACTTTTCACATTTTCGACTTCTTCTCAAGAACCACTGGGCCAATTTCAACCAAACTTGCCACAAAGTATCCTTGGGTAAAGGGGATTCAAGTTTGTTCAAATGAAGGGCCACGCCCTCTTTCAAGGGGAGATAATAAGGAATTAGTGAAAAAATAATAGCAACATTTAAAAATCTTCTTCTCAAGAACCATAGGGCCAGGAAAGATGAAACTCATGTGGAAGCATCCTCAGGTAGTGTAGATTCAAGTTTGTTCAAACCATGACCCCCGGGGGTAGGGCGGGGCCACAATGAAGGATCAAAGTTTTACATAGAAATATATAGGAAAAATCTTTAAAAATCTTCTTCTCAAGAACAGCAAAGCCATGATGAGTCATATTTATATGGAAGCATCCTCAGGTAGTGTAGATTCAAGTTTGTTCAAACCATGACCCCCAAGGGGTAGGGCGGGGCCACAATGGAGGATCAAAATTTTACATAGAAATATATAGGAAAAATCTTTAAAAATCTTCTTCTCAAGAACAGAAAAGCCATGATGAGTCATATTTATTTGGAAGCATCTTCAGGTAGTGTAGATTCAAATTTGTTCAAATCATGACCCCAGGGGGTAGGGCGGGGCCACAATGGAGGATCAAAGTTTTACATAGAAATATATAGGAAAAATCTTCTTCTCAAGAACAGCCAAGCCATGATGAGTCATATTTATATGGCAGCATCCTCAGGTAGTGGAGATTCAAGTTTGTTCAAACCATGACCCCCGGGGGTAGGGCGTGGCCACAATGAAGGATCAAAGTTTTACATAGAAATACATAGGAAAAATCTTTAAAAATCTTCTTCTCAAGAACAACAAAGTCATGATGAGTCATATTTATATGGAAGCATCCTCAGGTAGTGTAGATTAAAGTTTGTTCAAATCATGACCCCCGGGGGTAGGGCGTGGCTACAATGGAGGATCAAAGTTTTATATAGAAATATATATATATAGGAAATATCTTTAAAAATCTTCTTCTCAAGAACAGCAAAGCCATGATGAGTCATATTTATATGGAAGCATCCTCAGGTAGTGTAGATTCAAATTTGTTCGAATCATGACCCCCAGGGGTAGGGCAGGGCCGCAATGGACTGTCAAAGTTGTACATAGAAATATATAGGAAATCTTCTTCTCAGGAACAGCAAAGTCCAGATTGTTCATATTTATATGGAAGCATCTACAGGTAGTGTAGATTCAAATTTATTCAAAACATGACCCCCGGGGATAGGGCGGGGCCACAATGGAGGATCAAAGTTTTACATAGAAATGTATAGGAAAAATTTTAAAAAATCTTCTTCTCAGGAACAGCAAAGCCCTGATTGATCATATTTATGTGGAAGCATCCTCAGGTAGTGTAGATTCTATTTTGTTCAAATCATGACCCCCGTGGGTAGGATGGGGCCACAATGGAGGATCAAAGTCTTAAATAGAAATATATAGGAAAATATCTTCTTCTGAAGAACTGCAAACCATGATTAGTCATTTTGATATGGAAGCATCCTCAGGTAGTGTAGATTCAAGTTCAAATGATGACCCCTGGGATAGGGAGGAGCCACAATGGAGGATCAAATTTTTACAAAGGAATATATGGGAAAATTTTTTTATAATCTTCTCAAGTACAATAAAGCCATTTGTTATATTGACATGGAAGCATCATCAGGTAGTTTAAAATTCAAGCCCCCCCCCCCCCCAACCCCACCCCAGGTAATCTTTTCAATACTGAACTGATTTGTGCTTTTGCCTAGCCAATGTGCTCAGGTGAGCGATATGGCCCATGGGCCTCTTGTTTCTTTAATCGGTCCATTTTCTGATTTTTCCTTTACTATATGTCTCCTTTAAACTAAGCCTTTTGTTTCAATGGTAGCAAATGATTTGATGAGATGTATGTGCATTATTATTTTTTCTCTTTTTCTTAGATGATCATATGACTATTTCTGTTTTGGAACTGAAGGACGATGGTTCCCTAGAAATGGTTTATAGTAATTATGAGGATGTACTCGTCTCCTGTCAAGTACAAGAGGAATTTATAAATATGTTCATCAAAGTATTTGGGAAATGTGTTTTTGATGACTTTTACAGCCATTGTCGATCTGACTATTTTAATCTATTCAGAGAATTTTGCGGGAATATGAGTAAGGATTTACACGGTAAAGAGCCACTTATCATTACAATGCCCTCGTCTTTCTCAGCATTGGTTACAGACAAAACTGGTAAAAGTATTGAACAAGCGATTGAGCAAACCGATATTGCTCAAAAAATGGCGTACACTTCAAGCAAACTTAAGATTGCGCCTGAGATTTTTCAGAGTTTATTTTTAGAAGCCGCAACAAATACAGTACGTCTTCTTCGAAAAGGATTTCAACAGTCAGGACTGGAAAATATAGTGAATATTATCCTTGCTGGATATTTTTCTAAATCGACAATTATCCAAGACCACATAAGAATGTCATTTCCTTCGCATCACCTTATTATTCCTAGGGATGGAAATGTAGCTGTGGCGAAGGGGGCTGTATTGTACGGTCAAAACCCTGCCAAATATATGAAGGCAAGAAAAATGGACTTAAATGAGTCGACTGGGGTTTCATTGTGTTAAAACTCGGTAGAGAAAAAGACATTTATTTTTATGCCACGGGTTAACCTAAATTGACTTTAGTGTACATACCAAGTTTAAGGAAATTTTACCCCGAGTATTTTAAAGAACGATCTCAAAATACAGTCGCGTGGCGCAGTGGTAAGAGCGGTTGCTTTAGATCATGGAGTAAGGAGATGATTCTTACGTTGCGGGTTCGAATCCCACTGCGGGACGTGAAGACCGGTCCTTCGGATGAGACCGTGTAATGAGTCCTGTGTTGCACCATGGTCTAACAGGTCTAAATTTGCAGCCTTCCATCAGCAAGTGGTAGCGTCTCAATATGAGTAAAAAATTCTCGAAATTGACGTTAAACAAACAAACAAACAAAATGCAGGTACATGTACATTTATTATAGGATTATTTTGGGAAGTTCTAGTTTTTACAAATTATAAAAAATACTTTTTAGTCAAAATGTAATATACCGGTTTAATGAGTAATACTACATTGAATATTATATGTATATTAAGAAACACATTCTTCTCCTTGTTTTCAAAGGGGGCATCTCAAAATGTAAAAAAAAAAAAATAATAATAATAATGCATTGTAAAACATTGTAAATCCATGGATTCAAATAGAAAATAATAATAAAAATATTGATATATACGAGTTTTGTAAATTCCTAATCTTAAAAGTTTAAAAGTTATATCAGATAATTTTTCTTTTATATCAGTTTATGACTTTTTCCTACAGAGCTTCATTTTATCATAACGTCACACACTGAAGATGACAACCAACCTATCAGCTAAAAATATTTCCAAAATCTATTTTCTGTCAAGAATTTAATTTTTTTTATCTTTAGGTCTTACTTCTGCCAAAGGATATCAAAAGTTTTCTTTAAAAGTCTAATTTTGCTATATTGCACAATCAACCATCAAATATTCTCCAATGAAAACCCCAGTCGTCTACCTTAAATCTTTAAGTATAAAGACTCGATTTTTTTTTCAATGCGAAATTATGAATAGTATTTACATGGTTTTAATCAATATAAGTTGATCATGAATTTATTGATAATTCAGTATTTTAACTATTGTCTCCATATGCACAAAGCATTTAAAGGCTGAAATTTTTTTAAAATTTTTTTTTATCTTATTTTCAGGCTTCGGACTATACATGTCGTTCCCCTGCACGAATGGGAGAAGCTCTTAGACAAGAAGATATGAATTGTTGCATAATATCCTGAGAACTTTACCTAATGTGTTTATAATCATCAATCTTCTAGAAGTATCATTTTTACAATGATATACAGCTAAAGAGTAAAGTAACCGTTGAGATCTCATTATCTGGCACACCAAATTCACAAAAATGAGCTTAAAATAGTTTTTAAAATAATTAAATTTATCAATTGTAGACTGTAGTCTACGAAGTATAAACTATACAATTTAGTTTATCTAACAGCTCTAAATTGTTGACACTTAAAAATTTGTTTCAGCAGTATGTACATGTAACAATGAAAATACTTATTTAATTAAATGTACAAAACATGGCTCATCTGATCAATACAATTTCCCTATCTGTGAACTATGATCTTAAGTGAAACTACAAACGAGAATTTATATAATCAAATATTATCATGTTTATTCATATGCAGATAAAGAACCAAACCTGGTATATGCATATTTTGAAATTTTTTTGAAATGTGCCGAATTGTATTTATTGTATGAGAAATCTAAATCAATAAAAACTATTAATGTTTCAAAGGTTATACAGGCAATATTTGTTTCTATGACGTCACAAACTACTCGGATCTTGTCTTATTTTTCAGAAAGAGGAAGAAATGGACAAAATTTGTTTAAATTTTACTATAAAATTTAAAGAGCGCAGGCCTACTCCAGAACAATATTTACATATTTCATTCATATTATCACTCTACACATTATATCAAAATATTGAGTTGAAGCAGACCTGCGCTAGAAGACTTTTACTCAAAATATCGACGTAATATACATCTTTTCCTATATAAATTATGGAAATTTTGAATTAACGTCATTTAATGATGTCATATTTAACGTATGGCGTCATGGTTTATGAAAATATTCAGTACGTTTAAGTCTGCGGATATCCCCTGTTTTAGAACATAATTATATATTTCTCCGTCAAAGTTTGATTTTGGGTGCAAAAATTGGTCATAACCAAATATATTCCTTTGACGTACTTCCGTAAATTATTGTTCACAACGATTAGATATGGTTTTACAATGAAAAGGATTATACAAAAATTACTTTGATGTCATGTCTTTATTTTAGTAGTTCAAACAGTCTGATAATAATAATAATCAAAGTACTGAAAGTACTACTACGAGTTGATGGTATTGATTATATAATGGTTAAATGAGTTGAAGTCTCCTATCCATATTTGGAATATGTGATATATGTGCAATGACGAAAACTATCACTTTAATTTTTTTTTTCTTTGAGAAATAAAATTATATTTTATTTACAACTTTTCTATCATGTATTTTTAAGACGTATATTTTATCTTTTTTAAATATCTACTGGAATGTATGATAATTTATCAGAAATCGAACCTTTAAACATAGAAAACAAATACAGCAAGCTACATTGTCATTTTACAAAAAATCCTAAAACTAATTAGTATTACACTGTATTTGTTTTCTATGTTTAATTTTTATTTTTACAAAATATTAAAGGATACCATCATTGAAATGGTAATGGAGTTCAGAACATCACCATTAAAACTACCAGGAACAGTTTTGGGGCATTTGACAGAAATATTATATATCAAGTGACTAGGAATTTCAAGTAGGAAAAAATAGCACAATTGTTGTAAAATCATTACAGAACTAAAATTTCAAATAGACAAAAAAAAAAAAAAAAAAACTTTAAACACACATATCTCAAACTAATTGGTGAAACCTACAATAGTATTACAATATATATATTGTATATATGTAATATATAATTCAACTTCTTGACTTTTAACTGAAATGAGCATTTAATATGTCATTTCGTTTGGTTTAGTCACTCTTGAAATATATATAATTACTTGACTTTAATTGATATGCACATTTTATATATCATTTCTCTCAGTTTAGCCTTTCTTGAAATTCAACTACTTGACTTTCATTCATACATGTATGCACTTTTAATATTTCAATTCTTTGGGCTTTTCGACTGAAGACTTTAAATTCATCACAATGGCATGATATTGACTATTGACATGATCTATCTACTCTTGAATTAATTTGATTTCTTAATCTCTTCACGTTTATAAATATGCATATCACATTTAATTTATTAATAACACCCCACTTAATTTTTTTGTGTTTGTTTTTATTTATTGCCTTCAGTACTATTAATTTACTTTATGACATGGTCAGCATCTGATAGTAAGACACAGCTGGACATATTAAAGGAAAACACTTTCCAGTGTAGTGCCGACAATTAATGAGATAAGAATCACAGGCGTGTTAAGTGACCTCTACTGTATTTAAAGCTTGCTGTGAAACAGATCTAGATTGTGGAAGACAGGAATTCTCAACAGTGTTTTTAACAGGGAAAAAAAATCGGAACATAGAGTTGTCCGCTGCTGAAAAAATCTGACCCTTTAAGCAATCGAAATTTTTTTTGCTTACACAGTAAATAAGAAGCTTAATTTCAAAATTGTTTTGTTCATCTGGTACAGCTCATTTCTTTCGTTGAGATTAGTAACTGGTTTACTTCGATCTTCTTTACTGCAAACTCTTCGCTTTGTTTACAAACATAGGCAGTGTTATCTGTGTTGAATGATTCATCCACTAGTGCGAGAAAACTGCTCTGTTCATTGGCATAACAGCGCAAGAATATTAGTTTATTTACATACCACTAGCACGTCAATCTTTTAAAAATAACCTGGTTTGTACAATGTTCAATTTTGTGAATTTTCTTTAAAAATCTGTTTTCAAAATACTTCTTATTATATAAAACATTTATTGATTTATAAATCAAAACTTTGCTTGGACGACATGTCACTTTTGTTGACCACATATCCCTAGCACTATTTTCTCTCGCGGATAGACACAAATTCCAATAAAATTAATAATTATTATTTAAGTTCATAAACACGTCAAAGCATATTAGAAAACATATTCTTGTTCTGTAGATTATGAAAATTGTAAATAAACCAATATTACAAGAACCCGTACGCAAAGTACGCAAACGAAAATGTGATTAGTTTCGATACATTGGGGAATCCCTTACAAGTCACATAACATGAGTTGATACCATCAACTCGTAATAAAAACCAGTTCAATAATATATTACCGAACTTCAGTGCTAAAAAACAGACAGAAATTAAAGATAAAAATTGTAGAGTGAAATCACGGTTTTGTATTTCCAGAAAACAGTATTCAGGGTATGCAAATGCAAGGAATTTAAGTTGCTACTTAGCAGAAAATCATTGGAGAAAAAAACTGATTTTCACACATTTTTCACCTGCCTCAACACTTATAGTTCCATTATATAGTAATTCGTCCAATGCTTTCAACACAGCATTGTCTACACGAAGTGAAATCAATTTCTTATATTCTACATTTTTTTTCATATAGCATAGTTTGTTCTCCTCTGCTGCGTGTACTTTCAAAATCTTTAATTTTTATTACATAATTCGACTGAAATTTCAAATAAAATCCCACATTTTCATTTTCATTGTGATGATATCATCGAATACTGTGTCTGTATCACATCATGTATCATATCAGATGCATTTTATCTAAAAAAAAAAAAAAAGTTTAGAGTAAACAAGATTTTCACACCACCTGGTCACTGTTCATAATCCCTGCTAAGTCAAACGACTGTCCTTAATTGAATAAAATGGAAGATTTTAGATTTTTACTTTCTAAAAACGACTTTCTCTTTTTTGTCTACTTATACATGAGAAGAAAACGCTTGCATGTATTATAGATTAACAATACTAACATGTACTTCCTTATCTTTAATTTCCTTGATGCAAATGATGCTGCTCAT